CTTGAGACACATTCCAGAGCTTTACAGGCCATGTCTGCCCTAATTGGCCACAGGAGTGACAGAATTCAAGCCAGGATGTGTCCAGCAGGAGAGTAACTACATAGGCAATGACCTGGTTGGGTGGGGAAATGGAAAGTCCTTGGTTACATTAGGCAAAGAGTCAAGAACAAGAATCCAAGCTGAGAGTGGGGTGATAGCAGGTCAGGAGCCATTAAAAAAAAAAAATCAGAATGAAGTTAGAGTGTTGGGCTGCAGGGGAAACAGATGCTAGAACAGACAGCAGGCTAACATGGAATCTATGGGCTTCTTGTGACCCAGCCTTGTCTGTTTCTCTTGCTTCACCTTTTACCATGCCCCTTCCATTCTTTATTCCAGTCACACTAATAAATTGCTAAATGTACCCCAAATATGCCAAACTGTTCCACACCTCTGTACCATTTTTTTCATGCTGCTTCCTTTCTTTTGCCTCTACCTGACAAGTATCTACCCATTTTTTCCAGATTCTGCTTAAATACCTTCACTAGGAAGCTATTCCTGCCCCCACCACAGCCTGCCCCCACTCATTTTTTTGCCCTTTACCCACCCATGTTCCTGGTTCTCACATCTATCTTGACCTTCACAGCAGTGGTAAAGGGTATGAGGGTGTACCTTAGCATTCTGATGTGAGAAATGTCATATTGTATTTTTTTCTAACCCAAGTTTAGAAAATATTAATCCCCAAGAACTAGGATGTTGACACACCCAATCTTTATGAGCGCCTCTCCCTGACTCATACTTAAAATCCTAGAGCCCTAATAGTCCAGAAAATGTGGAAAATGGCCCTCTGGTCTTCAATACACCTCCGGTACAATGTTGAATAGAATTGGCAAGAGCAGACATCTTAGTCTTGTTCCTGACTTCAGGGGCAAAGCATCTGGTCTTTCATCACTACTTATAATATTAGCTGTGGGATTTTTGTAGAGCTCTTTGTCAGGTTAAGTTCCATTCTGTTTCTCATTTGTTCATGAAAGGGTTTTGGATTTTATCAAATGCTTTTTCTGCATGCATTGAGATGATTATGTAGTTTTTGTCCTTTATTCTAGAAACATGGTGTATTACATTGTTTGAGTTTTGGGTATTAAACCAACCTTGCATTCCTGGGATAAATCCCACATGGTTGTGATATACATAGTTGATCCTTGAACAACATAGGGGGCTAGGGGTACCAACCTCCCATGCAGTCAAATGCATGTATAACTTTTGACTTCCCAAAAACTAATTGCTGAATTTGGTCCCAGGACATCATATTGATGGCAGACCAAGGAAGTGCCAGTTTGGTGAGATTAAAGATTTCACCTGCTATAATAAAATCCCATCCATCCTGGCAAGGTTTATATCGGTGTCATTAAACTTGTCCTTTCTACTTCTGTCTCCCCATTAGCTATACCCTCTTCCTTTCCTTTGCTATCTGTAAAGGACCCCTTTGGCTGCAACTAACAGACCAACCCAACTCTAACTTAAGTACGAGTTTGTTTTTCTGATATAACAAGAAATGTGGGGACAGACAGTTCTGAGACTGATCCCATCAAAGACCCAGGATCTTTGCCTTTTTCCACTGCAGCCCCCATAGCAAATGTACTCCATCCTTATGCCTGTTCCTCCTGGGCCTATCGTGCCTTAAGACCAAGCCCTATCCTAGGGAAAAGGAGTACAGTCAAGAGGCAAAAAGCCTGCCAGCATATTACAAAGTTTTTCCAGAAGTCTCACACAGCAACTTCTGCTTATGTCTCATTATTTAAATCTCGGTCACATGTCACCCCAGACCAATCACTGAAAAACTGAAAAATGTGTAGAGAGAAGGGAAAGGGGAAGAGAGGGTAGTAGCCGGTCAACCAACAGTGGTTACCGCGCCTTCTTTCCCAGCCTTAGGAATTAGAAGTTAGGGCAGAGGTAGGGGAGAATGAGCTTGGAGTATGGCATGCCCTTCAACTCTGCCCCTGTCCATACCTGTTCTAAACATAATCAGTCCCCACCTTCTAAAATCTAAGCTCCCTAGCACCTTCTGTAGCAAACACAACAAATACAGATACATTTTTACCTGCTTTCTGGTAAATTCAGCATCTAACTCATTCTCCTTATTTTAGAATTAGCAAAGGGGCACCTGGCTGGCTCAGTCAGTACAGCATGTGACTCTTGATCTTGGGGTTGTGAGTTCAAGCCCCATGTTGCGTGTAGAGATTACTTAAAAATAAAATCTTTTTTTAAAAGATTTCACTTTATTTCTTTTTATTTATTTGATAGAGAGACAGCACGAGAGGGAACACAAGCAGGGGGAGTGGGAGAGGGAGAAGCAGGCTTCCCGCGGAGCAGAGAGCCCGATGCGGGGCTTGATCCCAGGACCCTGGGATCATGACCCGAGCCGAAGGCAGACACTTAACGACTGAGCCACCCAGGCGCCTCTTAAAAATAAAATCTTAAAAAATAGAATTAGCAAAAACAGATTTTGTCATCTGCCATCATTAAGCATTGTTCGATTTGAAGACCCCAAAAGCTAGTGTTCTGTGACATCCCCATGTCTTTTTGCAGCCTCGCATACCTGCCCTGGCAGCTAAACATTTCCATCACGGGTACAACTGCCTGTACCTACAAGTCAACCCATGACCTGGGTAACATGTTCAAGCTTGGATCCTGGACTTCAGATCTCTAGTGCCATTAATCACTATCCAGATAGGAAAGGGTTAGAAATTCAGAGTCCAAAATAAGGACCTTAAAATTCAACTTCCCTATCTCTCACTTTCCCCAAATGTTCCTGGGAATTACAGATTAATATATTTATCAAACTCTAACAAGTGCATTTGCCTCTCTTCCTTCCAGAGCCTTCTGCTGACCTCTCTGTAAACCAGCCCAGAGGTTCTAAAGCATTCTGTAAAATCCTTTCAACTCGATCTCTTGCCAGTCCTCTGATATTCCACACATCAGGAGTTACTTTTGAGAGGCTTCATTCAATCCTGCATACTATTTCTCTAATAGAAACTTAGCTATTGTCTCAGAATCCATAAGCACAAATTCTAGGGATCATACTTTTTCTGCGTGCAACATTCAGAGTTTCTTAGTAATCCCACAATATAGCAGTCATGAACTTACTCCATAACACCGAGGTGTAAGAAATGTCACATTGCTTAAAAAAAAAAAAAAAAGTCCAGGGAGCCTGGGTGGCTCAGTTGGTTGAGCGACTGCCTTCGGCTCAGGTCATGATCCTGGAGTCCCGGGATCGAGTCCCGCATCTCAGCAGGGAGTCTGCTTCTCCCTCTGACTCCCCCCTCTCGTGCTTTCTCTCTATCTCATTCTCTCTCTCAAATAACTAAATAAAATCTTAAAAAAAAAAAAAAAAGTCCAGAAAACGTCCATTGCCATAGTTTAACCCCCCAGGGACTTGCCACAGTGGCAAGATTTTCTATTCTCTGTGGAGTCTTAGAAGGGTGACCAACCACCCCCATTTGCCCATGACTGAGGGGTTTCCTGGGATATAAGACTTTCAGTACTAAAAATGGGCAAACCAGAAGAATTGGTCATCCTAAATACTGGACTAACATTAATTTACAAACCTTCCCTTTACTATATTAAAAGCTCTCAAGGGGCAAGGAACATGTCTAATGAATTTCTATATACTCATGTCTAGTGCTTGGGACATAACAGGCACTCAATACATTCTTAATAAACTCACAAACAATGCATAAACCAGCGTAAAAATAGAAGATTAAATAATTGTAATAATCCAGACCTGATCTACATCAGAAGTTATTTGAGCCAGTTGAAATGGAATGCCCCACCACTTGCTACTTATCCCTTCCAGAGAACATCCCTTCCAGGCTTAAAGAGGCCATGTCCTCAGAGCAGGGGCACATCTCCCCACACACAAAAACACACCATGATTTCTACATCATCTAGTTACAATTTAATGAATTTGAGAAGGATCAGGTAGACTTTCCATCGCATTTTGGATCTGTTTTTCAAGAAGACAGCACATTACCAAATATAAGCAAAGTGTTAAGAAAGCATAAACTTCTGAAGGTACCTACTACCTGCCCAGCCTACCAGACCTCCTCAGAGTTCTGTGCTGCACAAAGTGATGACACTGCTTTTAAGTATCCAGAACCTTCCACACCACCTCCACCCCAGCACATTCCCCCTGGGGTATAACAGTAATGTTACAACAAGGCTTTTTGTGTTCTTCACTGTGTCACTTTCCACTTGTCTTCCACAAGACACTGATGTTCCTTTATCCCCTAAGATCTTTTTTCCTCTGTCTGCCTTTCCTCTCATATCATTTCTTCCAACTTTTTGTATAAGTTAAGAGTGGGGTAGAACTAATATGCTTTCTTTCATCTTCTGTAACAGGGAGGCTGTTATGTTTGTGCCAGGTGTAAGAATTCTGACCCTTCTTTTTGTCCCGTGATGGACTGAGTTGATCTCAAGGGCCCTGTCCCCCATGCACCTACTCATACCTAAGCTTTTCTCTCCCTGCTCCCTCCTCTCCTCTCGCTTGGCAGGTGACTTTGACCACCTTCTTAAACCCTTTCTGGGTATTCCAGGGATATTCCCTAGCCAGCCCACTCTGATCTCAGTTGTGCAATACAACCAGATTTTTTTTCACCCTCAAAATAAGACTTGAATTTTCACAACACAAGTCTCTGTTTCAAGACTCTGTTTTTTAAGAATTATAATTCTCAAAATTCTACATTTACTACCATCTCTGGGGTGAACACCTACTTCAGGTTAAAGGGCATCTCTTGTCTGTGCATTGTTAACACTTTTGTGTACAACTCCAAGCTGAGAGGAAGAGGGGTACCTTGGGGCACTAGCAACTCAAGCAGGAAGTCCCTCTCTCCCAGGCCATAGTAAAATGGTTTGGGCCTCCCTGACACCTCCAGAGAAACTTGGGGAAGTCTTGATGGGGATTGATCTTTAAAACATGCCAAAGACTGAAGGTGAACCAGCATTTATATATGTCCTTGTTTCAGAAAAGAGAATGGCTGCTGTTGGCCAAAGGGGAGCCCCTGAGCAGAGGACACAGCCTGAGACAGCCTGCCAACACCTTCTATGTGATTGTGCCATCACGCTCCCCCACTCTGCTGGTGAAGGCAGTGGCCACTCGGGAACTGATGCTGCCCAGCCCCTTCCCCCTGCTGCCTGAGAACCCACCTGATGACAGCCTTAAGATTGTGGAGGCACGTGGAGCTCAGATATCATGGGACAGACAGAGGGAGAGAAGAGTTGGGAGTTGGAGAAAGGGATGAGGGAGAGCAGTGAGCCTGTGGGGGAAAGGACTGGGCAGCAGAGGGAGAAGTGGTTGTGCCAAAAAGGTGGTGGAGGGTCAGTGATGTGTGTCTGTGTGATGGTGTGTTCCCACGGGTCTTTCTCTGCATCGTGTGTGTGCAGATGTGGGTACCTGTTTGTATGCATCTATTTTTGTTTGTTGAGGAAAAGGTAGCCAATGTAGGCATCCAGGATAGGAAGGGCTTCAAAATGAGACTCCCAGCCAACAGAGGGAACTGTGCTGCTGGCCATTTTCTCCCCCTTCTCCCGCTCCTCCCCCTCCTCCTCCTCTCTTCCTTGGATCTGGATTCTGGATTTCCTCTGCCAGCCTCCCCTGGCTGAGGGCAGGAGAAGGGGCTCTGGGCAGGGAGAACTGGACCCACATCACTGCTGGATCACTGGCTTACGTGCAGAGAGGACAGAGCCTGGGATTGTGTTCTTGCCTTGGCGGCCATGGGCATACAGAGAGAGGTGGGCACGAGTGGCCATGGCTCGCTCAATGTCTCACTTCGGGGCCAGTGGTTCCTGGCACAGGATATTGTGGCCGGAAAACCTGACTGCTCAGGAATGCTGTGCTTGTGTGTCCTCAGGCTACGCTCACCTCACAGGCCAGGCAGAGAACTCAGTGTACTCGACCGGTGTACTGTGAGCACCCCCAGGCCTTGGACACCCCCTCCCTCACAGCCATGCACAGTGGATCCCTTGTAACCCTCACAGCACTCCAGCCCCTCTCAGAATTCCATGACACACTTCTTGGGGCCAGACTATTCCACGTCCCTAACCACTCAAGGTTGCACCTACTTGTTATACTCTTGCCAGAACTGTACATCATCACAAGCACTCAGATCTGGGGGCCAGGACACCCAGTGGGACCCACATCTATTTCAGTCTTCAGTGAAGCGCTGGGTCTTCACACATCCTCCAGCCTCTCACACTCCAAGTTCTCTGCCTGACATCTTGTGTTCTGTGACCTCAAGTTCCTTGGGTAAGCCTCCTCTTCTCTCTTCATCAGAGCGTGCTGGACAGCCTGGAACTAGAGCCCATCTACAACCCCTTGCAGGCTTGGAGCCACCTGTACTCACATCTGAGCAGCACCTTTATCAAGCCTCAGGGCCGGCTCCACCCAAGCTGGGAGAGCCGGGCCCTGAGAAAGGTACTCTCCCTACTCCCTACTCCCCTTCCTCCCCATTACGCCCAGAGAGAGCCCTCCTACCCTATCCTCAACTCCCCTCTCCCCAAAGTCAAGGGAGTAGCCCACTGCCCTCGGTTCTGCGCCGCCCTCCCCCCCCCCCCCCCCAAGCAGGGGGGGGCCCACCCCCCCCGCGTCTCCGCCCCCCCCCCCCCCCCCCCCCCCCCCCCGCCCCGTGGAGGGGAGAACCAAGCCAACAGTGGAAGAAGAAAAAGACCAGCGCTTTGCCCTAGACAAAGGAAGTTACAACCCCTGCCCAGTAGGGACGCTTTTCTGCCTGGGCACTGGGCATTTACATATGATAATGTTTAGGTATCTTAACTGTAGCACTTATGATAACTCAGTAGTCATTTAACAAACCATTGTCCCACTAAGCAAACTGACAGCACCGAGACCACAACTTCTGTTTAAAGAAGAGGCTAAATGGAAGGTGGAAAAAGAAATGTCCAAAGGGAAGGAAATTAGCATTTACTGAACACCAGCCATTTGCCAGGTTTTGTGACAAGTGCTTTCACATGTGTCTTTCTCATTTAATCCTCACAGCGTCCCTGCAAGGTAAGTGTTAATGCTCATCGTACAGATGAGGAAAAAGAGGCTGACCAAGGTTAGTCAACTGGAGTCAGGGCTTTAGCAATAAGAGTTAAAGAGAGAAAAGGAATTGAGAGTGGAGTTATTTTTATGAAATTCATATTCTATAATATTTCCCTTTGTCCCTATTAATCTTTTCCTAGTTTCTCAGTAACCGAACTTTAGAAACTCCTGCTTTGCCTTAGCTGAAGTTATAAAAGAAAGATCTTTCCAAACTGCAGTCTATCTAGAGATGGGAGAAGAGCCCTCCACAAGTTAGCTGGTGCGCAACCTAACAGAGGAGGGACACTCAGCCAGGAGACGGGCACTGTGGAGACGAGCCCAGGGGACTCCACTGCCCTGGGCCTTGAGGCTGTCACTCAAGGGATGGAACACATGAAGGAGTTAGGATAGGAGAAAACAGGGAACAGGACAGGAGATCAGGAACTGTGGTCTGGGCTTCAGAGAAGTCGGCTTGCTTTCTTTGCAGGCTGGGCAGTTACAGACAAACCGAGTTCGAGCCACAGTGGCCCCCCTGCCTATGACTCCAACCCCTGGCAGAGCCCCCCAGATGCCAGCAGCCAGCAAGTCTTCCTCAGAAGCCCTCTTCTGGCCTTCCAAGGAGGAAGTGGGGGAGGAGAAAGAGGAAGAGTATCCCTGGGGGCCCTGAGTCCCCAGCGCCAGAGCCCAGCTGCCCTGCTCAACCACATCCATACTAAGGCTCATGCAATGAATGGCTTTCCATGGTCAGACTTGCCTTCTGTCCACTTGAGCCTCTGTGAGCTCCAGGTGACTGGGAAACAGAGCCTTCCCCTCCTCTGTCTTCAGTTCTGCTACCGCCCCGGCCCCCGCCACTCAGGCCTAGAAGAGACACACCTGAACTTTTTCCTTCTCCAAGCAGGAGTTCATTTCTTTTGGATCATTTGATATCATTAACACAGATGAAGATTAAATACCCAGTAAAGCTCCACTATTGTTAAGAGCATTCCCTGAATTTCTCCTTGTAGTTCCCTGTAAGCAGATAGATGAGGTCAGGTCACCTTTGGGAAATTGGACCTCAGGAGACAAGGACAAGGTTTTCAGAGCTCATGAAAATAAGTACATTGAAATTTAAGCCTCATTCCGAAGCCTATGCTCTTCCCACTACACCCACCATACAGCAGTTCCCTTCGACCTTCAAACAGAAAAATGGTTGGTGCTTGAGTACCTATAGGTAAAGTGTGTGTGCATGTATGCGCTTGTGTGCGTGTGTATATGCGCGCGCATGTGTGTGTTTGTGTGTGTTGGGGCAGGTGGTGTCATATAGCTGAGAACAGGAGGAAAAGATGGTGTGAAAAAGACCTATTGCCTTCCTATTCTCCTCTCCCCATGCCTGTCCACCTTTCTGTTGGCCCTCTCCATCCATGGAATAACTACCATTTATAAAATGCTTAATCTGTGCTTCAGACTGCACTAAGTACTTGAGAAACTTAACTCCTTTCACACAAACAACCCTGTGAAGTAGAGTCTGTTGTTGGGTTTTCCCATTTTACAAAAGAGCATTGAGGGAAACTGAGGGTTACAGATGTTATACAACTCACCCAGCGTCCCAGAGACAGGCTCAAGCCCAAGTGGGCCTGACTGGACCACCAAGGCTCTCATCCACCACAATGCTCAACTCACCTCCCTGGGACCCCTTCCTCCTTCTGTGGCCCCCCCATACATTCTCCTGACCCCCTCCACACCCACCCAGCACACCGTGTCCCTTCTGTGACTATTCACACACATAGACCTCTTAAACCCAAGCTGACTTTAATGAGAATAAACTTCTTGAAATCTAGGTCTCTGGCAAAGAACAATGCAGGGGTGAGGATCCAGGCACAGTCCGGCATCACCCTAGGGCCTCCATGCAGGCCCCTCAAACTGCACCAACTCAAACCAAGCACCCCTTTTCATAGACCTGGTCCGGCAGCTGTCCATTCCTTTGGGGAGGTTGACTTGGGGGTGCTCGTGTCTCCCAGGTCCCATCCCTCACCCCTGCCATCTGTCCCACTTCCAGGACGTCTTGAGATTGATCATCCTTCCCTTGATTCCCCTGATCCCTCCCAGGTCCCCTGGACTGGCTTACACAGGACTCTCCAACCCTCTGGTTCCTGCAGGTTCTAATAGATTTCTTTGATCCTGGTGCCACCTCCCCGTGGTAGCCCTATCAGCAACCCCAGCCTTGCCCTACCTCTCATGTGGAGCCCTCAGAATTGACCCCGGTCCTGTCAGCCCCTCCTCTAGACAGCTCACAGTCCCAGCTCCCTGAGGCACTGCTCTTCTGGACCTGGCTGTACAGGGCAGTATCTGAGCTGTGGCCTTTGCTGCCACCACCAGTTATAGCTCTGGGTTCAGGGAAGGCCAAGCCCCGGGGCTTGGGAGCTGGGAGGGGCTTTGTGCTCCGAGGAGGTGGCACAGCATAGTCATCAGTGGCAGGGTTGTAGGGGAGCTCATAGCCCTCCTCCTTCACCCGAGCCTGGCACCACCAGGCATCCTTGGGCTCCTGAGGCAGGTCGTAAAGGCCCCGGAGAGCAGCTGGGGCCAGGCCCTCAGGTTCATCATAGATGGGGTCCTCTTTGGGGTCCGTCAGCTTGGCCTTCAGCAACTGCTGCTGCACATGCTCGTACAAGCCGCAATAAAGAGGTTTCTTGAACTGTACTCCCTCCCCTGCCCGAGCAGGGGTGCTGTCCTGGGGGTCTGAGTATAGGGAATCCTGGGAACGGCCTGGAGGAATGCGCAAGGAGTCTAAGGGTTCAGCATACAGGGTGGGAGGGCTGCCCGGGAGCTCCTGAGGGCCAGGCAAGGATGCCAACTTTCCCTCTGCCACTTCTCCTTCCTGGGAATCGGCTTTGAGACTATCCGGCCCTTGACCATCCTTTCCCTGGACCTTCTGCCGGTGAATAGCAGTCTCAACCGCCTGAAAGATGTCATTCCCCTGTGCCGTCTGGAAGGTGAAGGTTCCAGGGCCTGAAGGGCAGCGGCGACCAGCCTCAAAAGAGAACATGACCTGAAGAAGGTGTGGAGGAAAACACATTACCAGGAGCCATGAAAGGAGATGAGTCCCAGGGCCTGGTCTAGTATAGAGGATCTACAAAGAAAAGACTACCTGGGGAGGGAGGTGCGGCCACAGGCTGAGCAAGGAAGGGTTATCCAGAGGACAGAGCATCCCGCCTTCCTGTCCTGCCCCACCCCACCCACCCCACAGCTACCCAACCGAGGAAGTCGGGGTTCCCTGACAGCCCCCCGCACCTTGTCCCGGCCATAGCGGCGCAACAGAGTGTAAGGCCAGAAAAGGAGTGGCTCCAGTATCTGACTCTGGGCCCCTACGGTCAGGAGAGTCAGCCTCTCAGCCTCCACCCTCAGCACATAGGAGCCATGCAGGCCACAGCGCTCAGCGGCTTCGGTCCTCTGCACTGTTACCCAGAACTGGGATCCTGGAAGGAATACACAATTAGATTGGCACCCGGCCAGACGGCTAGGTGAGGGCGCTGGGGAGGTGGGGACAGGTTATCCAAGCACTCACTTGGAAACTTCAGGAGCTTCCTACTTCCCCATGGGTCCCTGACCCTTTAATCACTCCCTTCCTAAGGACACCCCTCCTTTCCACCCCATCCCTGCCCAGGCTCAGGCGTCTACCTTCCCAGGTGGGGCTATACAGCGAGTTCTCCAGCATCTCCAGGGCAGAAAGTTTGGGTGGGTTCTCCGCAGGCGCCAGAGCCCAGCTGCCTTTCTGGGGTAAGGAGAGAGAGTATCGAGGACCCTGCAATTCCCTCACCGCTGTTGCCAGGGTCCGAGCCAGCCCAGGCCCTCTGCTGCTGTAACCGCCCCCACCTCGCGTCGCCTCTTGGGCCCAGTGCGTTTCGCCCCAGCCCCTCGCGGGCAGCCCCGGCCGGCTCACCGGAAAGGCATTTCGGCACAGTGTTTGCACCCAGGCGGCGCTGGACGGCGCGTCCGCCGCCAACAGGTGGGAGCGCTGCGCGGTGTCCAGGCGGAAAGCTGCGGCGCCAGGCTCTGGGGGGCTCTCCACAGCCACGGGGACCACGCTCACACACTCCGCCAGACGGATCACCTTGCAGTCCAGGCGGCGCGAGCCCCCTCGGCCCCCTCCGGAGCTCGACCCCTTGTGGTCAAAGAACTCGAGCCGCGCTACGCCGTGGGGACTGGCAGGATAGAGTACCGCCCAGGTCTTCCTCCACCTCTGGGAAGAGAGAGCGAGACGCTGGGAAGGGAGCGGGCGAGCACCGGCGCAGGCCGATTTCGGGTCTGCAGCTTCCCGGCCGGGGGCGAAATTCCCCGAGAATAATGCAGCTCCGTCTCCCCAGGACCAGAGAGGGCGTACCGCGAGGCCAGCGGACCTTCTCCGGAGCGTGCAATCAACTTCGCGGGAACGTCATAGGGTTCTTCAGCTCCCGGCCCGCGCTCCGACCCGCTGCCACCCCCTCCCTCCCTCTGGGCTCTACAGCCCACTCCTAAGTCTGATGGGGTTCCGCAACCCCTGCCCCCGACTACCTTGGTACCGAAACGCTGACTTTGCAAAAAGAGCGGCCCTTCCATCACAGCTCCGTCCATGGCCCCCGGCGCTTCCTTCCGCGCTTCCTGACCCTGCGGGCTAGAGGCGGGGCAGGGGCGGGGCCGCGCCACCAGAGGCGTTCCCGCCCCTCCCCCGGCCTCCGCGGCCGGCGAAGGTGGAGCAAGGAGAGCCGCAAAAGGAAAAGGGAAGGGGTCCCCAGCTAGTTGGGCGGTTCACCACCTTCAGACTCCTGCCACAGCCCTGGGACGCGCACAAGTGGCTCCACCAGGAGCAACCTCGAGGTTTCGGCCAGAGGGCTCTGGCGCCTGGGCTTATGGGCTGTGTAGGACGTCATATGCTCAACGTGACATCAGAGTGAAGGCCGTGACGTCACCCCGAAAAATGCCAGTGGGCACCGTGGGGCACCGGAGGGACTCTGCGGGCCTTCATCGCCTCAGTTCCCCTGACCGGACCCGCCCCTAGCCCGGCAGGGGTCTGGCTGTTTACACTCCGCGGAGCCCCGGACGTGGGGGAAGGGCTGGGGGCTGGGGACTGGAAGGCTTCCCGGAGTCCGGAGCTGAGCCGCGGCCTCCCGCCGATTCAGGGGCCGCCGCCCAGGCCGGTCCGCGGCCCCGTGGCCTCTTGCGTGTCCAGCTCCCTGACCGCAGCTGCCCGGCCTCCAACCCGCGGGAAAAGAAAGCTTCATTAAGCAGGCCGGGGGAGGGTCGGCGGTGGGGGGTTGGGGGAGGTGGAGCGGCCGCGGCCAGCTCCACGGGGGAGGGGAGGACCAAAAGGAGAAGAGGAGGGAACTGGCCAGGGAGGAATGGAAGGAGAAGGCGGAATGTGGGAGGGCTCAAGGGGACGTGGGAGGGACGAACGGAGAGGGGGGAGAGAGGGGGGGTCCAGTCTCCCCTGGCCGAGCATTTTTTTGGGAAGTCCTAGGACTGATCTCCAGGACCTGGACTCTTCTCCCAGCCCCTAGAGCTCCGCTCAACCAAAGGTAGGGGGAGTCACGCTGCCGCGGGAGGAAGGGGAGTTTCGGATGGAGAGGATGGTGGAGGGACCACGGAAAAGGGGTGATGCAGGATGGGGTCGAGGGGAACCAACCAACAGAAGGTTTTATCATTGTTTAAAAGAAGACACAAGAAGAGTGGAGTGAGGAGGCAGATATTTGGCGGGTGGGGGGTCTGCAGGGTGTTCCAAATAGGGCAGCGGCCAGGGCCCTAAGCCTGGAGGCTCCTCTGTGAGGCCCTACCCCTGGGCCCCCAAGCCAAAATGTCCCCAGAACAAAGCTGTCCTGTTGTGTTGTTTGTCTGAGTTGGGGAAAGCATGTTCGGGGGCCGTTGCTGGAGAGGGGCTGTTCTCAGTCCCAGAGAGAGGGAAGGCCTTGGCTGAAGAGCTGATTGGCGCCCTGGCCTCCGGTTGCCCAGTGACAGCGATGGCAGTGTTGGCAGGAGGTTTGGACAACCCCACCCCATTCCCCCTCCCAGCTTGAGGCCTGGCCCTCCTGGGCCCCTTGACCCTGCAGGGCATGTAAGAGCCTGTGTGCTGGGTAGGGTGTGCAGGGGGTTCTCCATGCATCCTGGTCTCTGCCGGCTCCGCCGTGGAATCTGCCCAGACAGGACTCTGGGCTTGGCTCCCAATCGGAGAACCTAAGATCTGAGGGGCTCCTAAGCCCCCTGGCCTGCTTCTCTCCACAATCAGTAGCTGTCTGTCCTCTGTCTGACTGGCTGAATGGAATCATCTGGGTTCCTGCCGCCACCCCTCCTTGGCTCCTGCCAGGCCCTCTCCCCACCTGTTGCCTGCATCTCTCCATTGCTCTGTGCGCTGGCTCTCTCACGGTCCCCTTCTATCCGTCTTCCACATTGTCTCTCTCTGCTGTCTCTTTCTGTTTGCTCCCCTTTCGTTCCCACAGTTTCCCTTCCTCTCACATCCTGTCTGGGTCTCCCTCTGGCTCAGTCTCTATCTCTTTCTCTTGACCATTCTCTGCCTCTTGGTCTCTAATCACGGTCTTTTGAACTTTGGGTCTCTTAGAGCAGTGGGTGGGGATAATGGAGGTGATGATGACAGAGCTAGGAAAGGTCCTTGTGAGGCAGAACAGCTGATGGTGAGGGAGAGCCTCTCTATCTCTGTGTCTGTCTCCCTCTCTCTCCCCCCTCCCTAGTCTGCGCCTCTCGGGCTCTGTTTCTGCTCTTACTGAGTTTGTGTTTCTTTCTCACTTAGTCCCTGGGTCCCTGGCTTTCTCTCACACGGTCTCTGTCTCTGTCCTTTTCGGGGTTCTCTTCCTCTCCTGAACTCTCTGGGACCCAGGCCCGGCTTGGTCTCGCTTTCTCTCACACACTCTCTCTCTCTGGGGCCCCCAGGCCTTCCCTGCCATGCGACATGTCAGAACCCGCCCGTGGAGCCCATGGGGGCTGCTGCTGTCCCTGCTGTGCAGCTCCTGCCTGGGGTCTCCATCCCCAGCCACGACCCCCGAGGACAGGGCTGGCAGCCAGGGGTTGCGGTTCCGGCTGGCCGGCTTCCCCAGGAAGCCCTTTGAGGGCCGCGTGGAGATCCAGCGAGCTGGCGAGTGGGGCACCATCTGCGATGACGACTTCACCCTTCAGGCTGCCCATGTCCTCTGCCGGGAGCTGGGCTTCACGGAGGCCACAGGCTGGACCCACAGTGCCAAATACGGCCCTGGAACAGGTGAGCAATGCTCCATGCGTGGCCTAGGTATTGCCTTAAGGCAGGGAGAGGGAGCACCAGGCCAGGTGCAGGGAGCCAGGACACCAGAAACAGCCAGTGTCAAGTAGAGCCATGGTTGACAGTTCTCAGACCTACGTGACCTTAGGCTGGTCCATGCCTTCTCTGAACTTCAGATGCCCTATGTGCAAAATGACTAGGCGATCTCTAGGTGCCTTTCTTCGGCAAGCGCATGATTCCACAAAGACACATGCAAGGACAGCCCTGATACAGGTGAGCCCTGTACAAGTAAAGCACAGTTGGTTTGATGGAAAGCTGAGAGCAGATAAATGATGTCTGGATGTCCCAAACCAGAAGGCATCACAGATACTGCAGCTGACAAAATCAGATTATAGGCAAGAGCTGAAACCAGCAAGCTGGAACTAAGTTTTCTTAGAACTAAGCTTTCTGACTAAGCTTTCTTGGAACTAACAAGTATAAACTCTTAAGACAAGAATGAATGTGGGTAGTAGGGGCTTAGGAGGAATTCTGAGACCTGAAAGTGCTTACATTGTATGAGCCCACAGAAGGATTGACGGACAGAAGCCGGTGCAGTCTGCAGCGCATCCCCCACTCCCCACTGGCTGGACCACTTCTGGAATAAAGTGTCCCTTGTAGGTGCCACATTTAAGAGAGACAGTAGAAAATGGAAATGCTTTCAGAGAAGAGCTGCCCAGACGTGAAAGATTGGAAGCCAAGTTTCAAGAGGGAATAGCTGAAGAAACCAGGGGTGTTTGGTATGAAAAGAAAAAGCTTTGGATAGCGTTTACCTGAAGGTTGTCTTCAAATATGAGGACAGTCATTTGGCTGAGGGAGTTTTCTGGATGGCAGCAAAGGACTGAATCAGACCTGGTGGGGAAAGTCATAAAGAGTCACGAGGACTTCTGTGATGGTTCCAGTGGCCTGGTGGGGCAGGAAGTAGGCATCCCAGCAAAAGCTGGGTAAGTCCTGTCAGGATGTGCATGATGGGTCCCTGCCATTGGCTGGGACAGACGAGTCACATTGGGTGGAATCCCATGTGGATTGCGTCCATCCAACCCTGAGAAGTCAGATACTCATTTCAGTGTGGTCCAGGGAGAGAGAAAAACAAGGAGCAATGTGGCAGCACAGACAGGGCAGGCCCATGGGAGAAAGCGAGGCTGAGGTGAAAAGATCTTAGATTTCCAAGTCTCACAAATGGCTTAAACCCCTAAGTCCCCGTGTATTGGCTGTGTGGTCTTAGGCAAGTTACTTAACTTCTCTGAACCCCAATTTCTTTATGTAAAATGGTGGCAGATCTAAGAATAATCATATATATGTATACATGGCAGAGTGCCTAACACACAACAGGTACTCGATAAATTGTAGCTATTACTGAATAGGTCAGGACTGATCAGAAATTCAGTGTTGACTCTTGATTTTTTATTCACTGCACCAACTTCTTGAGTATCCCCCAGATCACCACTGACCCCCCATCAATCCTGTGCTCCCTTTAACTCCCAGGGTGTTCTGTCTCTTGCACACCCATTATCTTACCAGAAATGGGATCATCATGGCCGGATGCAAGGCCTGTATGCTCACTCTCCCCAAAATCCCCATCACCTCCCTCCCTCCTCCATCCTGCCTCCACAAGCCTCTCTATCCCCCCATCTCTCGCTCCACAGGCCGCATCTGGCTGGACAACCTGAGCTGCAGTGGGACTGAGCAGAGTGTGACTGAATGTGCCTCCCGGGGCTGGGGGAACAGTGACTGTACCCACGATGAGGATGCTGGAGTCATCTGCAAGGACCAGCGCCTCCCCGGCTTCTCAGATTCTAATGTCATTGAGGTCTGCTGTTCATACACACACACACACACACACACACACACACCCCACCCAGGATGACCAGGGTGGTTATATGGGGTTAGAGGGGATACTAGAAGGTAGGGGATTCCATATGCCCCGCAGGCTAATTTGGGTTGGTGGAAGGCTTAGGGGGTGGGGACGAAGGATAGAGCTAGACATATTAAAGCCCAGGTTTGTTTTAGCATTGGCATCCCTTCATCCCTGGTCCCCAGGGCATCCCTTGCTCTCCCTCCTTTCAGGTGTTCCTGCTCTCCTGGAACATCTCCCTTCCTTATCTCTCCTACTGCTTCCATGCCACTTCCTCTGTGAACTGCTCTCTCATGCTGGGGCCGCCTTGGGCGCTCCTTCCCCACCCTCCTCAGCACCCTCAATCGCCTCTCAGAGCACATGCCCTTCCTTCCACTCTCGTGGCCCAGGAGAGTCAGTTCATCACAGACAGCAGGCATGCCTCCCAGCCCTGTGGCAGCCCCTACTCCCCACGGGCTTTACAGCAAGCACATGATCAGGGTCCATGAGGGTGGGAGGACATGTAAAAGGCGCTACTGATTCTCCTTCCTCTGCTCGTGGTCCCATCCCAGGTAGAACAGCACCTGCAAGTGGAGGAGGTGCGACTTCGACCGGCCGTGGGGCGGGGCAGGCGGCCCCTGCCAGTGACCGAGGGACTGGTCGAAGTCAGGCTTCCCGACGGCTGGTCGCAACTGTGTGACAAAGGCTGGAGCGCCCAGAACAGCCACGTGGTCTGCGGGATGCTGGGCTTCCCTAGCGAAAAGAGGGTCAACACGGCCTTCTACAGGTGAAGGGACGTGGGCGCTGAGTGGACTGGGATTGAGGGGTGCTCACTAAGGGGTGATGTGTCGACCCCCGGGAGGGTCCGGGGCTCTGCAACAGTGGAGAAATATGGAGGCCCTTTCGAAACTGGAGAGTTGAGACATCCTGTGGGACCATGAAGGGCTCCCCGGGGCGGGTCTGAGATGGGGCAAGCAAAGCTCCTGCTCTTTCGGGTCCGCAGCGGGGGCGGGGCGAGTGGCGCCGGTCTCGGGTCGGTGCCCATGACGCCATCGGTTGGCAGGCAGACTCTCCGCGCCCCGGGGCGCGCGCCGAGCCTGGCGAGGCCACGCCCAGCGGCCGGCCGTCCCCGGGGCTGTTACTGTTACGGCGCGGGCGCGGGCGCGGCCTCGGGGCCCGCCGTCCGAGCTCAGGGAGCGCGCGGCCGCACCCCAGGGAGGCGGCCCCTGGGTGTGCCCAGCGCGGGCCTGGGCCCGCGTGTCCCCGCCAGAGGGCCAATCCCCGAGGGTCAGAGGGCGCGGGGAGAGGTCGGGCCCTGCCCTCGGGAGCCCCCGGGACTCCTAGCAAGTTTTCCAGAATATCCTTCGGCCGAGATTCCCGGCCCTCTCCACCTGCCCTGGAGCCCTGGTGTACGCGCTGGCTTCCAGAGTAACAGATCACACTGGTGAATAGCTCTGTCCTTACAGCGCCTCGCTACCCTGGAGTATCTTATGCAGTCCTTTTGAGTTTAGAAATCTTTACAGTCTCTCTGTAATCTATTACGCAGGATAAAGTGCTAATTTGTTTTCAGCTCTTCCTTAGTTGAGTTCTGCAGAAACACCTCTTGACATCTAGCTGAGCTTCCATTGGGCACACAACTTCAGATACGGTCGGATCAGGGCAGGGTACAGTAGAAATGCTCAACTTTGGGTAAAGCATGTCCAGACTTGGTATTGACTTTCTGTTGAGGAAACACCCCACTGTTCCTATTGAACTGGTAATCATCTAAAACCAATTCAGATCTTCCCTTATCCTTGATACTAATAGAAAAGCCTATTTGAACCTAAATCTATGTTGAGTTTACCCTATTAAATTAGTTGGATACATCTTTTAAAAACCATTAAAAAGCCACCATGAACCTATGAGATTATCCTGAATCTTGACATTTTTTTCCATTTGTCATCCCTCCCAGCTTCCTCTGGAGGATATACATGATAGCTATGCCTTCTGCCTCATCACAGTGAAATGTTCAAAACCAAAGTCTAACTCTTCCTTACTCATCAAGTCTTTACTCATTAGTTGTGAAATATCTTTTCCATTAATTGGGAACAAACTGAACACTACAATGACGTAGCCAACATTTCACCATTTTATCTATAATGAAATCACGGGAGATTTTGTTAATCTCCCTTAAAATCCAGATATATTATGTTCATGGCCATTCTCCAGCCTTCCAATTTAGTAATCTTATCAAAAAATGAAATCATGGTGGTTTGAGCTAATTTTTACTGAAATCCTTCTAGGTCTCTAAGGATCTCCATATATTTTCCTCACTGTTCACAAACTTTCCATTTAATAATGTATTCTAGAATGTTATTCTTTTTTTTGTATTCTAGAATATTATTCTTTAGGTTAAGGAATCATTTTTCTTCTTTTTGAAAGTCAATACATTATCCAATCTCTAGTCTTCTCCACACTTGCTCTAATTTTCCTTGCCTTGGCTCTCGGCACATCTGAAAGTTCTTTCAGCCCCAAGGAATATACTTTATCTGGTCTAGAGACTCAAACTGTTTTAAAACAGCTGTGTGCTGTGCTCCCTTACTGTTATCTGTCTTGGGGTTATATTTCTTTCTCTGTGCTGTTCTTTACCTTCCCTAACCCAAGCATCAGGTTCTGAAAGATTAGTACAATTTAAAAAGCAGAGATTTCAGTGACGAGGCTAGTGTGAACAAAGGTGAAGAGATCCGCTCATCCAGTATTTGTTTATTGAGTGTCTACGGTGTGCCAGGGACTGTTGAAGACACTAGGGATTCAACAGTAGGCAAAAGAGACAAAAATCCCTGATCTCATGGACTAGGGAAGAATTGGAAAATAGTAAAATTTTAAAATGCAAGGATGGCAAAGAGTGTAATCAATAAAAATAAGGCAGGGAAGGAGTTAGGAAGTCGAAGTAGGATTGCAGTTTTAGATAAAGCGGTCAGAGAAGGCCTCTTTGAAAAGGCATCATTTGAGAAAAGATTTAAGAGAGGTGAGGGCACAAACTGTGTAGAAATCTAGCCGAGCATTTACAGGAAGAGGGATCATAAAAGATCCTAGGCGGCAGGGGAGGGGTAGAGGGAAGGAGAAGGCACTCTTGTCACGCTCCTGGAGGCCACTGGGGCTGCAGCTGAGGCAACAAGAAAGAAAATGACAGAAAAGGTGATATAGGAGAAGATCGGGAAAGAATGGGGAGGCTGATCACGTAGGGACATTTGAGAGACTGGTTTGTTCTCTATGTGAGATAAGGTTTTGAATAGAGGTGTGACATCTGACTTCCATTTTTAAAGTGTTATTTTGGCTGTTTTAAAAATAGACTGTAAGGGATGCAGTAGAGTCAAGGAGGCAGAGAAATTAGTTAGGAGGTTATTGTCTCCTGAAAGCCAAGTAAAGAAAGTGAGACGTGATGGTGACCAGGAGAGTGGTGAAAAATCACATTCTGTGTATGGTTGAAGGTAGAGCCAACAGGATTTGCAGATGGATTTAATGTGGTATGAGAGAAGGAGAGGAATTAAGGTTCATTTCAAGGTTTTGAGCCTGAGCTAAGTATGGAGTTGGCCTTTTCTGATAAGGAAGACGGTGGAGCATGTTCTGTGTGAGGAGGGGGGGGACATTGAATATTAAAACTTGGTTTTGGACCTGTTAAAGTTGAGGTTCTCTAAGACATTGAATTGGTGAGGCTGAGTAGGCAATTGGGTATATGACTCTAGAGTTCAGTTGAATAAAAGTATTATAAGCCCTGAAACTGGACAATGTCACCAAGGGAGTGAGTGTAAACAGGAAAAGAGGTGTCCAAGGACTGAACTAAGAGCTTAAATGTTATGAGGTCAGGAAGATGAAGTGAACACGCTAACAGTGAAGTGAGGTAGAGAGAAAACCAAGGGACTGTGGCGGGCTGTTAGCCAAGTAACGGGCTTCAAGGAGGAGAGGGAGAGAGTGATCACCTGACTCAGTGCTGCTGGTGGGTCTAAAAGAACAAGGACCGAGAAACGAAAGCTGGATTTAGCAAAATGGAGTCATTGCTGACCCAGACAGAGATGACAGTGACTAGGATATTTTTCAAAAGATGGTTGACTAGCGTAGAAAGTTGTGCTGGAAAAGTAATGGAAGGAAGATCTGAATACTTAAGAGCCAGAAAATGGAACGCTTTTCATGCCAGATTAGAGAGTTTCATCTTTATCTTATGGCAAAATTAAAAATAAAAGTATTTGTATGGGACACTGATAAATTAAGGCCAGTGTTGTTAAAGTGTATCCAATAGTAGTGAATTGGAGAGAGGAGGTTCTAGATGCAGTAAGGCTAGTTAGGAGTTTGTTATAAAGGTGAAGCTGATTCGGAGGGTGACAACCAAGAGGGAGGGGGATGAACAGCTGTAGGATGGCTGGTAACAGAAAATAAGAGAAGACATACAGGAAATGACCCTGAAGCTGCTGGAAAGCAGGATGGTGTGGGCCATCAGGCATCTCTGGGCTTCAAGGTAATATGCACTAGCTTTCCAAGTGAGCCATCCTCGGCAAGTTTGAAACCCAGCAGTTATCCCTAGGTATGCATGGTCTGAAGTAACTTGCAGAGATCAGCAATATCTGTGTAGATATTGCAATCTGTTACTGAATCTGGGATATGAAGGCTGGAGAAGGACACATACTAAGTAGAGAGATCATCTGTAGTGAGGAAAGGGGTTACAGGAGTCCTGGGAGATTCTGTGATGGGGATATGATCTAGATTTCCTTTCACAGGTCACATCAGACAGAGGGAGCATTCTCACAGGTAATACCATCATAAAGGATAGGCAAGGTCATTACAAAGAACTCCACCTTCCTCAGAGAAAGAAGATACATCGGCTAGCTTTTGGAGGAAACCAGTAAGATTTTGGGAATGAGAAAATCAGAACATGATGTATTTATCATTTTTCCACTTGGTTTTAGAGTTCTGCCCTAGAACACATGAAAGTTGTAGAATTTTAGAAGAGGAAAAGAATGTAAAGATAATTGAATCATTTACTGTCCTTTTGCAGGCAAAGAAATTGAGGTTCTAAGAGCTCAAGGGCTGAAAGCTATGTATTGAACTCCTGCTATTTGAAACGCACTGTGCAAGGTGCTGAGAACACAGAGGTGATGAGAGATCATGGAAGACCTGACAGGCTACTTAAGGATTTGGGTCTTTATAATAGAAGCCCTGGGAAACAAGTGAAGTGTTTTCACAAGGAGGGCTGTAAGAGGCCATGATGAGGTTTGGGGCTCCAAAAAATCACTCTGCCAGCATTTCTGAGAATGGTTTGGAGAAGAACAAGAGTGGATGAACTGGAGAGATGTTTAGGAAGTAACACTGACAGGACTTGGTTAGGGACTGAGTTTGGGAGTCAAGAAGAGAAGGTTAATTCTTAGGTTTCTGGAGTGGATTTTACTGAAAGAATTATGGGTTTATTTTTTGGACCTACATTACATTTTAGAAAACTTTGAGACATCTAAGTAGAAACATCAAGAAGGCAATGGAATATACAAGGTTAGGTGTAAATGAGAACATATAAAGAGAGGATATGGAATGATAGAATGCCTTAGACAGGACTCCAAAAATTTAAGTGACTAGCTAGAGGAGGAGCCTGTGAAGAAGACCAAGAGAGAGCAACCAGAATTAGGAATCAAACCAGACTAGTAGTGTTAGGACAGCCAAGGAAGGAGAGAAGATGAGAACAGCAGTGTCAGATGCTACTGAGAGGTAAATAAGATGAAGATTGAAACTGTCTACTAGATTTATTATCGCAGAGTGATGGGGAAAACCAGAAAAGAGCAGGTTAAGGAATGAGTGGTAAGAGAGAGGATACAGAAGTGGAGCGACTCTCGACAGTGTTTTCTATGAAAAAGCGGGGAGATACGGGGTGGAGGCTGTGGGAGGGGGTGTGTAGGAGAGATCTGAACATGTTAAAACGATTCAGTTGAGGAGAGATTGTATGTGACTTCTCAACTGAGGAGAAGAAAAGATCCTAAGGGATGGAATTCAGAAACACTGGGGGAAGTGGCCTTAAAGAAGAGAGACGGAATGAGAAGGGGTGCACAGATGTAGGTACATTTTGATAGTTGAAGAAACAAATGATAGGAGGAAACAAGCACATTTGTGAATGAAGGAGTGTAAATAAAGACAGCTATCAGTACTGGTCCTAAACAAGCACCAGGTTCTTAATATAATCTATATTGTACCTTATATATAACTAGGTATGCCATATGATATTTAATATAAAAACCTTATAAATAACTAAGAGAAGGAGTACTTCTAAGTTCCTAGATAGTACTACATCTTTCTGAGTACTCGTTGGAGGATCAAGATAATCTTGAAAGAAAACACAAAATATATTTCATTTTAGACAGATCTGAGAAAAAGACATTTGGAGAAAAAGTTTCACACTATACTTGTATGATGAGAGGTTCTAACTCTTAGTAATGTCTCAGGAAAGGGACCTGAGAGTTATTGTACACTCTTTTCTAGGAATGTTGGACATATTGGATATTTTGATAAAAAGACCAACTAAATACATCCTCAGGAAGAAGCCAGGGCAGGAAATACCAAGCAACTCCAGTGCTCTTTCAGATCTACATACTAACATCCTAGTACATCTGCACACAGTATATTAGGTCCAGATATGACTCCTCAAGAGAAAACAGCAGAGTAAGAACATGTTTAAAGAAGGGATAAGTAAGATGCTAACAGGGAGTCCCATAAATTCATAAGGACAGACAGGTAAAACCTGCATTCATCTACACGTAGTTGGACAGGACAGAGAGGGGGCACAATTAAAGTCTTTGAAATCAAAGGGAGAAGGAGAGGAGAAACAGACCCAGTTTCCAGACATTAGACTTAAGGCAACCTCTTGAAGAAGAAAATAGGTCACATATTTAGGCCAATTAAAAAGAAATAAAGTTTTAGAACTTATTTCTCTGGAAGTCTGGGGGCTGAACTTGGTTTGTGAATGACTAAAGCATATGGGATTTAATTTAGGCAGGAAGGATGCTGGCATCCTAACCCACCTGGCCTCATGTTCCCCAGTCAAACCAAGTTAACGTCCTTGGACGTTATCATGTATAATGTAGGCCCGGCTGAGGAGAAGCCTCCTCCCTCTTATACTTCCCCCAAATGGCTCAGACTCCAGCCTCAGCCGCCAGCCTTGGTCCTGGTCCACGGGCCTCAAACCTGGAAATGCCAGAAGTCAGAGAGAATCCAAGAATAAAAGACAGTCAGCCTCCCTATAACCAGGCCAGTTCTCTCTCCTTGCCTGGTCATTCTGACCATATTAACAGTCCTAACACACCTTCCTACTTATACCCTTCCCCATAGCCCTCCCCTCGAGTTTAGATCAACCCTGATATTGACCCTAGTCCTCATTACCCCTCGGCCCCAGCCTAATTTCTGTGGATGCTGGTATAGGGGCTCTATCAGCCTGAGTCCAGGTGCCTCACTGCTGCTCATCAGCCTGGTCATGGGCATATGAAGCCAAACAGCTGCGAAGGGTTGAGCCTTGGGAATATCTCTCATGTCATAACATCCTGCTGACTTTCCAACTTCCCTGTTGGAAAAGAAATTTGCCCTCGGCCCCAGCTGCACCAGCCTTTCCCACTTGGTTCTAGACTGATCTTGATTCTGCTATTGTCTTATCCTCGCAGAAAGTTGAGGAAGCGAGCGGCCAAAGCCTCAGCCCAACGCCCCAAGCCCCTTGGAAGGTAATGGGGCAAGAGCCCTGGGACCTCCTGCTCGCCCCTGCGGCCCAAGGAGGTGGATGGATGGAAGGCAGCCTATCCATGTCCATCCCAGAACCCAAGCTAACTAACGAATTAGGGATGTAACTGCAAAATGGCCATTCCGGGGGATGGGGAGGCAGGCGTGGGGATGGGCAAGCTTTGATCTTAGAGTGCCCAGGAGGAAATAACGTAGGCCCGGCTGAGGAGAAGCTTCCTCCTTATACTTCCCCCAAATGGCTTAGACTCCGGCCTCAGCCGCCTGCATGCTTCCTACCCCCTACTCCTCATCCCCCCGCCCAGTTCACCCACATTCCCCTTCTCTCTCCTCCCTTTACCTCTTATCCCCTCTTCCCTCACCCCCTGGACTGACTAGATTTCTCGTCACTGTTGTGGAATCCAGAGAGCAACCTGAGTCCCTAAAATGGAGTTCAGTGGTGTGCAGCAGTCAGTAGGGGTGGAAAATCTGGCCCCCTTCACTTTACTCCTTCCCACACTCTGCATAAAGCGTCCTTCCTGGGCCACGTACCTAACCACTACCTCCACTAACTTCTTTGTCCTTTTTTCAGACCAATCACCAAGTTTAAAGTCAAACCCAAACCCCCAGTGGGCAGGGGATCAATCAAGAGGTAAATGAAGTTCAGGCTGGGTGTGAGGAGAGGGAGAGCGCAGTGATGAGTCAGGGCAATGGGGCTGTGGCCAGGAAGGGGTCCAGGACGCCCCCACCAAGACATGGCAGAGCAGCAGTAACTGTTACAAACCACCTTCCAGATGAGTCACTGAAACGTAAAGTGATGCTGGCCCTTACGATGGTTTCTGGGGAACTATGCTTGTCACAGGATTTTTGCAAGTCCCTTCTTCCACATGTTTATTTATCTTCCCCCAGTGAATTCTAGCAGATCCTCTGGCACTTTTGTCCTTCAGACGCCACACTTGCCTCTCCCTCAAGAAGTTCAGTTTGCCTAAGGGATCCATGTTCCCAGCTTACCTTTATTTGATCCGTTTTTAAAAAATACGTGCTACCAGCTTGGAGGTGAGACTCAGGGTCCCCTCTGGAACTTTGCCAGGGATGGGTTCAGATTATAGTCCGTGTGTCTCTGGCCCAGTTGACACAATGAGGTTCCCCATCCCCCAATTTTCTCATGGGTTCCCTCAGAATTCAAGGGAGTGGAAAGCTTCCACCCCAGCGATTACCTCTCACTAGGCTTCCAAAGGCCATTTGCATGTGAGAAGTCTCCCCAATAGCTTCTTCAGCAGTGGCTGAAGAGGAAGAAAATCCATCCCTTTCTTCTGTCCCCTCCTCTGTTCTGCACATTCTAGGATCACCCAGTGGTCCCCTGGTGGCCCTCCTTCCCCAGCTCCTCCTTCTGGTGGCTTCAAAGGAGCTCGGAATTTGGGGGTGTTCTTGTAGTGCCTTCTAGCTAAGGGTCATCTGTGCCCAACATGGCCATGCTCTGGTCTTCCCTGAACCCCAAACTCAACTGCACACTGCTATTTTTACTGTGTTCCTTGTGGAGAAAGTGGAGGAGGAAGTTTAAAAGAGCGATCTCTTTTTCCTGTGATGGCCTCTTTGACTTTTATTTTCAGCCACACAGGACTTTGGGAGAGTACCTGATCTGTCTGAGCTTCAGAATCCACTGATCCTGAGCCTCCAAAGGTATTCTGTAGTCTCCAGGTTTCCTTTGTCTGTTGTATTTATAAACTTTTCCTCTTCTCTGCGTCCTCTAGCCAGTGACTTCAAGTCGTCAGAACTCTTCCTCCCTCTGATATCAAGTGATGGACACGTTACTACAATAACTCATTGCCAAGCCAGCCTCGCAGGCTCACTTCACCAATACGAGCCCTTCTCCCTGGGCACTGCTCTCATCGCGTGCCCCACTGCCATCTCTCACTCTGTTAGTGTCAGTGAACAAGCCCCCTCGATCTCACAAGGCATCTCTCCCAAGTGCTTCCAAGTTTTAACGTCTCTAGTTTAGTCCCATTTTCGTGCTAGGGTGGCTACGGAACATTCTGTTACGTTAAAGTGCAGAACCATGGACTACCTTATTAAAGCTCAGCTCTGGTCTGGAGAGATCTCTACCATTCCATTCTGTTGTGCGTATTCACTCCCCTCTGGCCATGTGGTCTCTAACTTGTTGTCTGTCTTACATTTCTACATCTTCGTTCCCACATGTGCCAGCCCCAGTCCTTCCCTATGTCCACCTTCTGGTATATTCTTCTCATAACTACCCATCACATTCTGGCCTGGAAGACTCTGGCCTCGGAGAAGCCATGTAGACCCAAGACTGACTCACTGCGACCCTGATTCAGATCTCAGCCTCAGCATAATAGCAGGCTGTGCGCCCCCCGCTGGCTCTTCAGGCTTCCCGTTTGTGTCAGCCACTCCTTCCTGCCCATCTCTTTCAGCCGGGCAGTCCTGGCTTGCCCCCCTCTCTCTGCACAGCAGTCTCAACCGCAGCCTCCGTTAGGGCCAGCAGCCTGAAACCATTTGGAGCAAGGTTTCTGTCAGGCAAGTCAAGACTAGCTGTCCTGCCCAGAAAGGTCTCGGCTGCAGGTCCCCCCAAACCCTCCTGTCTGGGTAATCTGGGCTTTTTCAGCCTGGAAACTTGCCCGTTCCCTTTGTCTCTATGGAGGGAAACGCAGCAGAGAAGAGGGGAAGAGGGGATAAAATGGTCACGAAAGGTTGGGGGATGGTGGAGGCATGGAGGGGAGGAGGGTTGTGGGCAAAGAGGTAGGAGCATTGTTTTACCCTACTGCACCCCACTCCTGTCCCCCCAGGCTGCTGGCCCAGCGGCAGCAACACTCCTTTGGTCTGCATGGGGTGGCGTGCGTGGGCACCGAGGCCCACCTCTCCCTCTGTTCCTTGGAGTTCTATCGTGCCAATGACACCACCAGGTGCCCTGGGGGGGCCCCTGCGGTGGTGAGCTGTGTGCCAGGCCCTCTCTACGCAGCATCCAGTGGCCAGAAGAAGCATCAACAGTCGAAGCCTCAGGGGGAGGTGTGTGAGACAGTGACTATAACCTTCCCCACCCCAGGTGGAGAACCCCATAGCCTAGCCACCCCCTGACTAAGCACAGCCCTGACCTTTGAGGACAGAGAGGAACCTCTCTCCAGGGGGTGGGCCACAGACCTGAGACCACCCCCTCCCTCCCACCAGAATCTCATTCATCTCCCAGGTCTACTTAGCCCTCTGTGCTGATGTTTCCATTCACTGCTTTTGGGCACATCTCTCTCCTCTATAGACCCGAGTGCGTCTAAAGGGTGGGGCCCACCCTGGAGAGGGCCGGGTGGAAGTCCTGAAGGCCAGCACGTGGGGCACAGTCTGTGACCGCAAGTGGGACCTGCAGGCAGCCAGCGTGGTGTGTCGGGAGCTGGGCTTCGGGAGTGCTCGAGAGGCTCTGAGTGGTGCCCGCATGGGGCAGGGTGAGGGGGATGAAGATGGGAGGAAGAGGGAAGAAGGTACACACTCTTCTGGGGGGTACATTCCTTGGGAAGGAGACCCCGAGGCAGACAGTGAAGGTCCAGTTATAACCTCCTGATCTTTGACCTCTCACCCTAGGCATGGGTGCCATCCACTTAAGTGAAGTTCGATGCTCTGGACAGGAACCCTCCCTCTGGAAGTGCCCCCACAAGAATATCACAGCCGAGGACTGTTCCCATAGCCAGGATGCTGGAGTCCGATGCAACCTGCCCTACACTGGGGTAGAGACCAAGGTCAGTTTTCTTTCCAGTTCAGTTCAAGGATCTTGCATCCTCTCCAGCCCTGGTCATGATGTGCAGCCTGACAGCTTCCCAGCCCACTGTCCCAGGCCCCCACCATCTGGCAGCTCCCATCCAATGCCCCCACTTGCCAGTCCTTATGTGCCTCTGAGTCACCCGTCAGCCACATGCCTGCTGCAAAAGCTTACCCAGAACTTCCATTCTGTGTCACTACAGATCCGACTCAGTGGGGGCCGCAACCGACATGAGGGGCGAGTGGAGGTGCAAATAGGGGGACCTGGGTCCCTTCGCTGGGGCCTCATCTGTGGGGATGACTGGGGGACACTGGAGGCCATGGTGGCCTGTAGGCAGCTTGGACTGGGCTATGCCAACCATGGCCTGCAGGTGAGTAGGGGGAGGGAAACCAAGGCCTTTGCCTCCAAAGCCTGTGTTTGGGGCAGAGGACTGTGGAAATGAGTCCCTTGGCCCAAGAGGCTGGATGGTGGGGCTCACAGAAACACCAACATATGTTCCCAGGAGACCTGGTACTGGGACTCAGGGAATACCACAGAGGTGGTGATGAGTGGAGTGCACTGCACAGGGTCTGAGCTGTCCCTGGACCAATGTGCTCATCACAGCACCCACATTGCCTGCAAGAGAACAGGAACCCGCTTCACTGCTGGAGTCATCTGTTCTGAGAGTGAGTGAACCCAGGGAAGGGAGGCTCTGGGCCACCCCTTGGAGAGAAAAAGAGAGCTGTAAGCTGGAGGGGTACCCCTCGCCTGTGAAGAACCAGCCTCTCCCCCTCCACAGGGAGAGGAGAGGCACCCCCATCTGCCCCCCGCCCCCAGCACTGACCTCCCACACTGTTTCCTTCCTGGGGGCAGCTGCATCAGATCTGCTGCTGCACTCGGCCCTGGTGCAGGAGACGGCCTACATCGAGGACCGGCCCCTGCACATGCTCTACTGCGCTGCTGAAGAGAACTGCCTGGCTCGCTCGGCCCGCTCGGCCAACTGGCCCTACGGCCACAGGCGTCTCCTCCGGTTCTCCTCCCAGATCCACAACCTGGGACGAGCAGACTTCAGGCCCAAGGCTGGGCGTCATTCCTGGGTGTGGCATGAGTGTCACGGGTGAGAGGGGCAAGCAGAAGGGCAAGGTCACTGGAGATAGGGCAAGCCCACTGGGGGTAGGGAAGGCAACAGGGGTCCCCTTGTCCCCACAGGCACTACCACAGCATGGACATCTTCACCCACTATGATATCCTGACCCCCAATGGCACCAAGGTGGCTGAGGGCCACAAAGCTAGTTTCTGTCTAGAAGACACTGAATGTCAGGAAGGTGAGTTGGGCCTCGAACAGACGCCGGTATCTCCATCCCACAGCCTTGCCTCACATTGACATATGCCAATCCCTCTCAGATGTCTCCAAGAGGTATGAGTGTGCCAACTTTGGAGAGCAGGGCATTACTGTGGGTTGCTGGGATCTCTACCGGCATGACATCGACTGCCAATGGATTGACATCACAGATGTGAAGCCAGGAAACTACATTCTGCAGGTGCCGGGGGCCTGAGATCCAGCTGGCAAGTGGGAGGAATGTTTGTTAAAGACACCCTTGGATTTGAGGACTGCAACTGGTTATGTTGCCTTTCTCCCACTCACAGGTGGTCATCAACCCCAATTTTGAAGTAGCAGAGAGTGACTTCACCAACAATGCAATGAAATGTAACTGCAAATACGACGGGCACCGCATCTGGGTGCACAACTGCCACATTGGTATTTGGTGGGAAGAGGAGCCCAGAGAGACTGGGGGATGGGAGGGAAAGACCTTCATTCTCGTCTGCCTAAGTTGGTTCTGTGTCTTTCCACCCACCTCTGGATCTCCCAGCCTCTCCACTTCCACCCACCCTTCCCCACAATGGGTCTGTTTCCCCACCTAAACTGCCCATTCACCTTGTAGGCGATGCCTTCAGTGAAGAGGCCAACCGGAGGTTTGAGCGCTACCCTGGCCAGACCAGCAACCAGATCGTCTAAGGTGCTGCCACCCTCCTCCACAAACCACCACTGGCCCCTAAGGGCAGGGGTCTGAGGCTGCCATTACCTCAGGAGCTTACCAAGGAACCCCTGATGTCAGCAGGCCAGCCGCACTCATCCAGTGTGCGCTATGGATGTGGACTGTCAAGCCGAGGTTATCGCCCTCCTTCCTAGGCCAGCTGCCGGATCTGTGGCCAAGCGTGGGGAATTTTTGCTCCCAGGCCCAGCACCGAGCCAAGCACAAGACAAAGAGCAGCACCTGATTAACTGCCCAGAACAACAGACAGCAGCAGCTGGTTTTCTTGAATAGGGAGGTCAGAATGGTCAGCTCCAGTATCTCCCCTCAGCTGAGGGGGGATACAGCTTTACCTCTAGCCTTTTTGTGGGGGAAAAGATCAGTACCCCCCCCTTATTTTTGACTATAACATGATGCTAGGTATAATTTTATTTTATATAAAAAGCATTTTTATGATTCCTCAGAGCCCAGGGATTGGTGCTGGTGGTTGGAGGGACCTGCCCCCCACTGGTTCATTTAATCCTCTGTCCAGGTACCCTCAGAGCCTAGGCCAGGAAAGCAAGGTGGAAATCCGAGCAGGAGCCTCATACTTCTGCTGACCTACTCATTCTGTGACTTCAGGGGTCACATACAAGGTTAATGTTTCCGGTCCCCGCCGGATGCGCACTGCCAGCTGGGATTGGGTTCGAACAGCTTCATAAATATCTTCAGCGTTTTGTACCAGCTGCTCCCCAATGGCCAAGATCACATCACCCGGCCGTAAACCAGCCCTATGGTGAAAGACGGACAGAGAGAGAAAGGAGGGAATAGACAGCCCAGTTCAAGGGCACATGCACACCTCACCCATCCCCACCTCACAAAGCAGTCTCTCCCTCACCGGTGTGCAGGGGAGTCCAGGATGACTTTATGGATGAGCACACCATGCTGAACATCAGGAAAGCTTGGTTCTCGAAGCTGTAGTTCAGCAAGGATGCTGAAAGGACAGAGATCACTCTGTTAACCACACCAAGGCACTCTCCCCATCTTGCGTTCACCTCAAACCTCGCATCAGCACACTGACAACTGCATGGACAAGGGCATGCACTAGATACATGCACTTGTATCCCTCTGGATACAAAGGCAACTGGCTTTCTGCCTTCTGGAAGTTAGGAAGTGGGACATGTATATAAAAGGTAACTAATTCCAAGTGATATAGTATTAAGACAATAACACTAATGTCATTTTAGAATTCTAAGAGAAACTTTAAGGAAAGAGTAGAACTTAAGCTGAGCCTAGAAGAATGGTTCTGGTATTTAACTATATAAAGCAAGAACAACATAAATAAAACCATGGGAGTAGGAAATCAGGTTGGCTGGAACAGAATATATTCATGTAAGAAGCCAGATCTGGAAGGTTAAATTGGAGACAAATGGAAAATGGCCCCTAAATACCAGGTTAATGGATTGAAGTTTTTAAATCAAAGCAGTAACAGGATGCAATCAATCTGGTAGCAGGCGTACAAGATGGACTGGAGTGAGAAAGTCAAGATCATGAGAGAGAACAGCTCTTCTGATAGCTCCAAGTGTGAGGCAACTTATCTTAGATAAAGATAAAACTGAGAACAAAGCTCAACAGAAGTGCCAGTTGCCCACAACTGAATACACTGGTGGTCCTACAGGTCACTACCCCTAAAGCTCATACCTGGGAGTCAGGGTCAGCATCATCACCCCAATGTAGCGGCGCTGGGACCCACTGATTCCAAACCAGGAATCTGTGATAGAGAGACAAATGAGCCTCACCCAGCTACCTCCTTCCTTCCCCAACCCTTTCCTCCCAACAGAGAGCCCCCCAGCAAAGCCCAGTGAATGCCCCTCCCACCACTTAAAAGGAATCCCTCCCCCCCCACCACCAAGCCAGGCTCACTCTTCTTTTCCCCACGATGCAGAAACTCTCGAAGGCGATCAGAAGGGATGGCAAAAGAGATTCCAGCTGTGACCTTCATGGTATTTACTCCAATCACCTCCCCGTCCTGCAGGGATAGAGCCCACTGTTCCCTAGCCCAGACACATAGTAGGAGATGGGACTACCTGAACAAGAGTAGCTGGGAGTACTGGGGAGGTGGGGAGACCTGCCTGGATTCGGGGAGATAGCCAACAGGAGAACGCTCAGAAACTTGACCAAACATCATTGAATTAGGGGAAGCACAGCCCTTCTCACACTGACCTGGGGCAGGGATTCTTGGAAAGAAGGATGTCCCACTCACCAGGTTAACCAGAGGACCTCCAGAGTTTCCAAACTGCAGGACAAGGAGAAAATATGGAAGAGATCCAGGGACTCTATGTCTGGGGGCATGACCAGGATGTAGGCACTTTCTCCAAATTCTCTCCTTTCCCAGCCCAACCTGAGTGGCCACATATGTGCAGCCCAACCTCTGTATATAGGCTCATCCACCATCTATCACAGTTGGTGCCTGCACCCCACAGCCTCTCCCCCAACCCCCAACCTAGTTTGTCATTTCTCTTATGTCAGAACGCACATCAATAGCTGCATCAGTCTGGATGTATTCCACATTGGTTTGGGGGAGGCCCAGGTCTCTGGCTGGACGCTGAGCAGAGCTGACAATGCCAGAAGTGATCGTATTCTGCAGTGCAAAGGGACTTCCCATGGCAACAACAAACTCCCCTTGCCGGACATCAGCTGAGCGTCCCAGGGGTAGTGTGGGGAGAGGCTCCTGAGGGGAGAATGGGTACAAGAGAACTGTCACCTGGAGATGTGAGCAAATTCACAGACCCAACCAGACCCAGCCTGCCCAGACCCCCACCTTGGTCTGAATCCTCAGCGTGGCAATGTCTGCCACGGGATCCACAGCTGTGACCATGGCCTCATACGTGTCACCGCTAAGCAGCCTCACACGGACCCGGCGCCGATCAGCCACCACATGAGCGTTGGTTACGATGAGCCCGTCGGCAGCCACCACGAATCCTGAGCCATTCGAGATAGGGACTTCGCGGCCCGAGAAAGGGTGCCTGGGATGGGGGAAAGCAAGGATGTAAGGAGGCTCAGACCGCTGCTCGCCCGCCCTCTAGCCCGCGGTTTGGGTGCCTTCTGCTCTTCCCCACCGTTACCGGCCCAAGATCTCGATATAAACCACAGCAGGTGCTGTCTTCTCCACCACGTCTGCGATGAAGTTGTACTGGCTCCGGGGAGAGGTGGGCGGCGAGCCAAGGACCGAGGCGAGGACCGCTGGGGGACCCCGACCCCCGACCCACAATAACAACAGCACTGCCCCCCCAGCGCCCAGCGCCACCGCCAGCCATACGCGCGGACGGGTTCCAGGGGTCCCTGAGACCTCCCGGGTCCTGGGATCTGGGGCCCCTGCAGTCAGCCGTGCTCGGGAATCCCAAGTCCCCGACGTCAGACACGTCCGTGTTTCAGGGACCCCCACAGACAACCGGGCCAGGAGGCTGGGGGTCCCATAAGTCACTCGGGCCCGAGGGTCAGGAGTTCCTGACGTCAGCAAGGCCCGAAGGTCAGGGGTCAACAGGGGTCCCTTCCCCCAGCGAACCCCCCCCAAAGCCCGCCATCCCCGGAGGTTCCAGCCTGCACCCCGCCCCGCCCTCAGTGCAGCCATCAGCTCCGCCTCGGCTGCCTCGTCGCCCGCCCTACACAGAGGCGGCGCCCTGGACGCGAGCTAGCGGACCCAGGGACGCGGGGCACGCCGGTACCTGAAGTCCTCCAGAAGTGCACGCCGGGACCCAGGATTCCGGGAGGCCGACTCCGCCCCCGCCCCGCGAATGCCGGGAGCTGTGGTCCCCGCGGGACGCGAGTTATGAGGTGGCCCAAGGGCCCGCGAGGCATGCTGGGACGCTAGCCCTTCCGGGGCGCCTCAAGACCTCGGGTGCCGGCACCCTGGGCGGATGCCCGAAGACTCCGCCTTCCCAGGAGCCCCTGCGGTGGGGCGCGAAGATGGCGGCAGCGGCCGGACAGCTATAAAGCGGCAGCAATGGATCCTTCCCCGGCGCTGGGGCCGGAGCGGCTCTTTGACTCGCACCGGTAAGAGCCCTCCTGGTGGAAAGAGGCCGGCTCCCGCGTCCACGCGGGCTTCGGCGCCCGATCACCCCGCCTTTCGCCCCCAGGCTCCCGGGTGACGGCTTCCTGCTCCTCGCGCTGCTGCTCTACGCTCCAGTCGGGTTCTGCCTCCTCGTCTTGCGCCTCTTTCTTGGGATCCACGTCTTCCTGGTCAGCTGCGCTCTACCAGACAGTGTCCTTCGCAGGTAACGAACCGGGGGTTCGGGGAGGGTCTGGGCTGGGCCCGGCCCGAGGCCGTGAAGTCACCATTGCCTGCGCCCCCAGGTTCGTGGTGCGGACCATGTGTGCGGTGCTGGGGCTCGTGGCCCGGCAGGAGGACTCCGGACTCCGGGATCACCGCGTCAGGGTCCTCATTTCCAACCACGTGACACCTTTCGACCATAACATAGTCAACTTGCTCACCAGCTGTAGCACCGTGAGTGGGGGGCGAAGCCGAGAGCTCCACGGGGCGGTTCCCTGGGGCCCAGCTCGAGGCTCCCCTTTGCCCGCCCGCGTTTCCCTTGGGGACCACGAAATACTGAGCCTCACCCCTAATCCCGCTTCTTTACCCCATATGTCAGTGTTTCTCACTTCCCAATGTTCTTTTCTTGCTTTCTCTCTTCTCGATTCCCAGCCTCTACTCAATAGTCCCCCAAGTTTTGTGTGCTGGTCTCGGGGCTTCATGGAGATGGATGGGCGGGGGGAGTTGGTGGAGTCACTCAAGAGATTCTGTGCTTCCACGAGGCTTCCTCCCACCCCTCTGCTGCTATTCCCTGAGGAAGAGGCCACCAATGGCCGGGAGGGGCTCCTGCGCTTCAGGTGGGTGAGCACAGGTATGGGTCTCCAGGTGGGTAGGTGGTCAGGCTTGGGGGCCCTTGAGTTTTCAGTTTTCAGCCCTACCTCTTTCGTCCTAGTTGATTTCTGTTCACTTTTATTTTCCCCTGTATCTCTTTATTCCTCATTTATCTACTTGTACAGTTTGACAGTTTTCTGTTCTGAGTCAGGTGCTGACCGGCTGGCTAGAATCCCCATCCTACTCTCTCTTCCATCTTCCAGTTCCTGGCCATTTTCTATTCAGGATGTCGTACAACCTCTTACCCTGCGAGTCCAGAGACCCCTAGTCTCTGTGGTGAGTGTGTGTTGGACAGGGACTCTCTGGGGCTTGGAGGGTAAGTTTCCCACTCCTGGCCCAGGCTTAGAACTCACCTCATGCCCTCTCTCCAGACGGTGTCCGATGCCTCCTGGGTCTCAGAACTGCTGTGGTCACTTTTCGTCCCTTTCACAGTATATCAAGTAAGGTATTAATTGTCTTCACTTTTTGATGGCTGGGAGAAGCTCACCTCAAGGTCAGGGAGGTTGCCTCTTCCCTGTCCATTTGCAGATCGTTTAGTATCAAGGTTCTATCACAGAGGCAATACAAAGTGTTTACTATCTGCTCACCCTGATCACAACTGTTACATGAAAAGACATATCAAAGGGGGAAAGGGTGACAGCCTCCACCAAGAAGCACACAACATGGTCCTGGATTTTTTTTTTTTTTTTGCAGGTGGCTGCCTCCTGTTCATCGCCAGCTGGGGGAGGGGAATGAGGAGTTTGCCCTCCGTGTACAACAGGTGGTAGGGTACACAGGCAGGGTGGAGGTAGGGTTTTTCCTTAAGGGTAGGAGGAGGAAGTCTTGAGACCTTGACAGTTTCAACCTTCCAATTCTCCCTAGCTGGTGGCCAAAGGATTGGGCCAGACAGGGACACGACTCACTCCAGCAGACAAAGCAGAGCACATGAAACGACAGAGACACCCCAGGTTGCGCCCTCAGTCAGGTATGTGGTTTCTGTACACAAAGTTGTTTGGGTTTTCTCAGCCTCTTGTGATTCCCTTCCTATTCCTGTGCTCGTCAGCCTCTCCTTCCTCCCAGTTCTCCACTCACCATGTTTCGGATTTCTTTTTTGCAGCCCAGTCTTCTTTCCCTCCCTCCCCTGGCCCTTCTCCTGGTGTGCGGCTGGCAGCTCTGGCTCAGAGAGTCAAGGAGGTTTTACCCCATGTGCCACTGGGCGTCATCCAGAGAGACCTGGGTATGGGAAAGGGTAGCCTCGCACAGGAGACAGGTGCAGAGAGGAAAAGTGGGTGGTGAGGGGAGAAAGTGAGCAGGGAAACAGACTCCCTTTTCTCTCTTCCCTTCTCCCCAGCCAGAACTGGCTGTGTAGACTTGACCATCACTAATCTGCTTGAGGGAGCTGTAGCGTTCATGCCGGAAGATATCACTGAAGGGACCCAGTCCCTTCCCACAGCCTCCACTCCCAAGGTGAGACCCAGGAAATGGTTAGGTCCAGGACTAGGGCTGGGATGGGCAGTCTGCATACTCCCTATCGAAGTCTCTATTTTGATCCTGAGACCCTAGCACAGTGCCTCTCTTGCAAAGTAGGCATTCGATGCGTGTTTAATGATGATGACTTCGCAAGCCCTCTGACATTGTGATCACCTCAGTTCCCCAGCTCTGGCCCGGTGACCCCTCAGCCCACAGCCCTCACATTTGCCAAGTCCTCCTGGGCCCGGCAGGAGAGCCTACAGGAGCGCAAGCAGGCACTCTATGAATATGCGAGAAGGTAAGGGGCTTAGAGGACAGTGGGTAGGAAGGGGCAGGTTGGAGAAGAGAGCTAATTATAGGGCTAATGTGGGAAAGCCCACACAATGTCTTCTTCCTATGTCTCGCAGGAGATTCACAGAGAGACAGGCCCAGGAGGCTGACTGAGCACAGGATGGCACCCAGAGCCGCAGGACGGAGACTGGGGGCAGCCCTCACCCAACTTACAACTGGCTGGAAGGGTGGGTGGTAAAAAGGGAGGGATGGGGCTCCCCCCAAAATCACATTAAATTCAGGGTTTTCACTCAAGGTCTCTGTTGCCTCTCTGGGGCTCAAAAGCCCACTGAGCAGGTTCTTTTTCCCTTGGTTGGGGGAACGGGTGAGAGCCTCCTTGTGGGTTTGTGAGAAGTGGTTGAAATCACCCCTTCGTGTCAAGAAATGAGTGATACTATGGAAGTGTAACTGAATTGAAGACCAGCAGCAACTGGACCCTAGCTTGGGTGTTCGGCCCCACTTTGTGAAGAGACAGCTGCAAAACTACAAGTCCCAAGATGCCTTTCACTAACAAGCACAACGTACACTGTAGAGTACACATGCTCAGTGTGGTGTCTGGAATCTGTTTTCCATAGGCTTCTGACTAATTAAATAAGGTGGAGCAAATGGCCCCACCCCAAAACCAGGCCTAAGGATTCCTGTTTAAGCCGAGCCCCAGGGTGGAGCCGGAATTTACCTTTGTACTTCACTCGGGTCTTGGTTGGTGGTGACTGGCTGGGTGGGTCTGGAACTGGCTGCCACCGTGACACGTCTCAGCGCTGCAAGCAGGTTTGAATCCAGGATCCCTGTGGCCCTGCTCCCCCCGTTCCTACCCCTTTCCTCCTCCTGTTCTTTATCTCTTTATCCTTTTCCCCTCGGGACCTTCCCACAGGTTACCATAATTCCTGGTGCCCTGGAGGCCCCCTGTGTTAGTCACAGGGTTTTTACTACCTGACTGACAGGTTAATAGTCCACTTTGATAGTCCCTCACTGTCAGACTCAAGTCGCCACTGTTTCCTGGCAGGCAAGAAATGCTGGGAAGGATGGTCCCCAGCGCATTACTGCTTGAGGTTAGGGATCAAGGGTGGGAAGTTGGTGTAAGTCATTTTAATACGAGGCCTTAATCACTGCCCTGCCTTCTATAGGTACTGCCAGTCAGCTACCATGGCCTCTCAGCGTCTTGGGCTGGCAGAAGAGTCTGACCCAAACCCCGGGGAGTCTGAGTTGGCTGTGAACCCCTTTGACGGGCTTCCCTTCTCTTCCCGCTACTACGAACTGCTTGAGCAGCGCCGAGCCTTACCCATCTGGGCTGCTCGGTTTATCTTCTTGGAGCAGTTGGAGAGTAGCCCCAGTGGAGTGGTGCTGGTGTCTGGAGAGCCTGGCTCTGGCAAGAGCACCCAGGTGGGGGGAGACTGGAGTAGACAAAGGGAGGGACTAGAGAACTGGTCCTTCCACTGGCAAGGTGGGGATTGGGCTCCGTGGAGTTTGAGGGGAGTGGTCAAAGGGAGGCCGGGTTAGACTGGCCCCTGGGGGGCTGGTGAAGGACCAGGGGACTCCCCAAATTAGAATGGCCACAGTCCCCCTGCAGAATCTGACTGAATCCTACATCTCACTGACTGGTTGTCCTTTCCTATTCCTACCCCAGATCCCTCAGTGGTGTGCAGAGTTTGCACTGGCCAGGGGGTTCCAGGAAGGCCGAGTAACTGTCACTCAGCCCCACCCTCTGGCAGCCCTGAGCCTGGCCATGCGGGTTGCCGATGAGATGGACATAACCCTGGGTCATGAGGTTGGATACAGCATTCCCCAGGAGGACTGCACTGGGCCAGATACCCTGCTCAGGTGAGGCCTCTTGCAGGCCTGACCCAAATCTGATTTCCCTCCCCCAGTAGAAACAAGCCCAGTCCTCTGACATCTCACCAACCCTCCCTCAGCCCATGTCACCCTTTAGATCATGCACGACACAATGCTGAATTAAGCCCCTAACCCCAGCCAGGGACCTTAGATATTCAAACTCACCATCATCACGAGCCTCATTTGCCCAGCTGGAGTACAGCTTGTGAAAAAAAGCGTCATCAGTGAGGTTGTGGGTCTCCATACACATTCACGGCATCTTTTTCTGACCTTACTATCAAAATCTAGGCCTCCCAGGAAGATGTTCCCCTGGACTTCTGGAGTTGTTC